GATTGTAAACTGACCACCCTCAGTGTCTACACCTCATTACTAACCACCTGTCATGATTGTAAACTGACCACCCTCAGCTGATTCAGCTATTAATAACAATCATCTTAAAGGGACAGACCCTGCAATTTGCCTGTGAATACAACCAAGGTGTTCTTCCCAAAGCTGAAGGTGCAGAGAATGAAGAAGAGGAACTTTTTCAGATTGTCAATGTTACTGTCCTTAAGAGTTCTGAAGAAGCAGAAACGAAGAGTCTGTATGCTGCAGAAACAGAAAACTTTGACCCAGTGAGTAAATGATTCTGTGTTATAGTGATGATGATGATGATGATGAAAACCGCTGTCAGCCTATCAGTAGGGACCTTTAGAACAATGAAGGAAGCAAGGACAGTGATGTTGAGCAATAATTCAAGCACATTATCAAAACTGTTTTTCAAGTGCACTGTTCTTCCTACGATTTAAAGAGGCACCAACTTACATTCTAGTGAGGAAASCAAAGACAATGAAGGGAGCATGAAAAACCATTTTGAAAACATCACGTCATAATCGTCTGATGTCACCTTCCCTGCTCCAGTCTTGGAACCTAAGATCCCTAGTGAATGTCTAGTGATTATTAGATCATAGTCATCAATTGATAGTTCATGACCAATTGATTGATTAACTCAATAAAACCCTTTAGGTTTAGTGTATTTCCGACCATGTCATTCCCTAGAGTACCATATATTTTTTGYTTAACAGTTGATTCAAACCTTCAAWTTCCTCTCRTTTTTAACAGCCCTCACTTGAATTTGCTCTCATTTGCTCTCATTTTTTTCAGAATCTCTATACAATGCTTCTAAACATGTTGTCCGAGAGAGGGGTTGACGACCCGTTTGCCCATTGGTTGCTAGAATACAGCACAGCATTGGAACATCAGCATTACATTAAGTTTTTACAAGACCTTCATGGATTTATCAAACAAAACTAAGAAGCCTTCCCTGGACAGTACTAATAAAGTGAACCGGGTCTCTTTCTTGGTGTAGCAAGCTTTATTGTATTCTGGATTAGGGTTTTTGTCTTGCAGGCTAGAGCTTTAACTCCRAATTTATTATCCTTGGCTATGGTATTGTCTTCATGCCTCAGGTTCCTTGCAACACCAAGAAAGAGCCAGTAAATTATAATTTTACTGTTATAGCATCAAACGTTCTCCTTGAATGAATGTTTTCTGTGACCTAGTAAAGTCGAGATCAACATGTTTGCTAGATCATTTGGTTCCATTCATAACATTTGTAATAAGTTTGATTGCCTGAAGCCTATAGGTTCAGATAGAGTTCACACATCTCTAAGTTACTGACTTGGAACATGAATACTTTTTAAGAGTTCCCTCACATCATAAGGAAATACTATAGTTTTAACGCAACCTATAAACTGACCTGATGGATTATTAAACAGTTTCCTAGGCAACAATGAAACCAAGAAGCACTGAAGTGCGAGTCTCTGCATCCTAGGGAAGCAGTTTCCAGATGTCTGGATTTTTGGCACCTGTCAATCAAGGCTCCTCTCAAACATCGAGCCTAACATGAGCCAAACTTAATGACATCAAACAAGACAGCCTTATTATCCATTGTATCAATTAGGTTTGGCTCATGTGAAGTTCAACATTTGACCTGAGCTTAAAGAGTTGAATTTTCAGGATGTTGAGTGAAGGACATAAGCCAAAGCATGAGAAAACTTTGTTCTGATGCTTCTCTTATCTGCCCAGTGTCTGGGTTGCATAAACATAAGGAGAACATTGAAGTAGAAGAGAAATAATAACCAAGTCCAAATACAAATGTTATACTTTGTATAAACCAAACCAAATAAAATTWWAAAAACCACCTTGTTATCCATTGCTTTCAATGCATATGGCTCATGTGAAATTTCACCTGGGCCTATTTTTTTGATTGTTAAGGGATTGCCTTTTCAATAAAATCTTTGATTTTTAAAAATTTAAAGTACTCAAATACATTGGAACAAGTTGATTATTGTAAAGGTATAACAAATAATTAACAAAATATGGTTTTAAAAGTTTCTTTATTAATAAAATGAGATTATCAAGACATAGTTTGAAAACAAAGGAATCAAAGTGAAGTCCAACTTGAACCAATCCGGACCAAGAAATGAAGCCTTAATCTCATTATATATCTGGGAAAAAGCTTAGATATTATCAACAACCATGAGAATTAGAGATCGTTTGCCTGAGGTCAAGATGATGCTGATTTTGCTCTCTCTTGAGTTGCTACATGTATATTTCATTTTCATCTTAATGTTGTRCAGATGTTTCTTGTTAGTCTGTCTGCACTGTAAGTACTTTTTCTATTTACAAATTTTGGAAACGAAATGTGAATTTACAGCAGCAGAGGTRTCAGCTATCAGCTCTATTGATCACAAAATGGGGCTCTTCTTCTTCCTCCTCTTCTTCTTCTTCTTCTTCACTACTTTGCTCTTGTTCTTTTGTATCTAAATAAAGATAAAAACAACTACTTTAAAATTGACATGCCCTCGCATCCAACATGTCAAACAGATAGTGATTGCATTTGATTGATCAAAACAAAACCGAATAGTTGTTTTAAAAAAATAAGTATTCTAATTTTTCTTTTTTCTCTTTTTATTCAAATTTATGACAGTTATAACAATAATTTTCTTTTGTAGGATAAATGGAATCCCCCTAACACACTTACCTTCTTTGCTTGCATTTTGTTTCATTTTCTTGGCAAGCTGTTTCTTTTGCTTTTTTCTTTGCCTAGGTAAGAATACAATTAATGTAGCTTTCAAATTTAGGAATTAAACTTTTCAAACAAAAATAAAAGTTTTTAATGTGAAAAAATTTAAAAATTACAAAATTTAGACAGCTATCATTGTGACTCTTGGGAATAAGATTCTTTGTTAGAGTTGTATCTATATTCATGTGTCTTCTCATGCACAAAAGTTAAACAAAGAAATTATACTCTAAGAAATGACATGCGGTCTGAAATGGAAAGACATTCTGCCCTAGGTAAAGAGGTCTAGTACACATATTAATARATATCCCTTTTGTACCTTTTGGCTCTTTTTTTGGCTGTTCTCTCTTCCGCTATTTCTTTATTTTTGTCAAGTTTTTTCTGATATTCTTGCTGAAGTTCATCCTGTGTTGGAAATAAATGTGTAACCTCAAACCTTTACCACACAGCTACTGTAAATACAGCTATTTCAAAAAAAGTTGAAGGGGTGAACCGTGATAGTTAATAAGCAATAGGCAATAAGTGATAGGAGATTCCAAGATGCAAGAATAGCTGGTACGACTTTTATTTYGTATCATTATTCTTGTCAATAACACAGATGTTATTGTTAAGATATTTACAAAACCATTTAAGAGCCTTGATTTGAGTTTTGATGCATTCCCACTGTGCCTTTCATTCGTGCAATCATCAATCATGGATTGCCATTTGCCATTCACCCCTTCAACATTTTTTGAAACATCTGTATGAGAAACCCTAGCCAGGCTGAACTGAGAGCAACCCACCCCTATACAGATCTAAACATAAAGGAATTCACACCTTATTCATAATGAGCGAAAAAGGAGAGAGTAAGCAAGCGTGAGAGACAGAACATGAGCAAAATAAATAATTGGAGCCCTAGAAATTGTGAATTTAGTGTAAAATTATGACTTTGGTACATCGTAGAAGTATGTAGAAGTCCTGTCCAGGCTGAAATGATTTTAACCTAGGCCTGTTYGCCTCTTGCAATTGCCAAGCATACAGTACTCTCTAAAAAAAGTTCAACTTCAATAGACTAGACCTGGATGGTCTAAGGATACTACCATGGTAAATCATAAAGTACTTCTGTTACCTTACTCTGTAATTTTAAAACACACAGTAGAGTCTAAAATGACAAACTGACCTGCTTGGCTTGTTTTTCCAGATATTCTATCCTATTGTTTTCCCTTCTTCTTGTAGCCCGATATACATGGAACTCTCCACTTCCAGCTCCAGCACTTGATCCTTTAAAACCAACCCCAAAATTAATCAATCATACAAAAACAATCAGCAAAATATAGCCAAAGATATTCTGCAATTCTGAGAGTAGTCACCCATGTGACCTAGCTTGAACTTGCATATTTTTGTGCTGAAAAACAGGATTTAAAACACTGGAAATAGGATTCATTTCACTGGGAATGGAAAAAAGAAGTTAATGGAAGTTTTCCAGGAACTGGAATATATGAAAATTGAATTGGGAAATCAACATTTAATTTAGTCCTGTTGTCATCCAACAGTTGATATTTGGGTTTGCTTTGAAATGGAAACACAGGAATCTCATATAACTAAAAGCAACATGCATCTTGATGCAAAACATTGTTACGTTRCAAGTTGCAGGGCAGATATTGCTTGTATTTCCACTCAATGCACAACAAAATTTCATTGCTGTTCRAAGTCAAAACTTTATTTGTTGCAACATTTGCTCTGCAATTTGCAAAGTAAACAATGTTGCATGACAAGTTGCATGATTTCGTTGCACGTATTATTGCACCTTAAGGGAGTGTCACACGTCAAATTGACTGAAGGAGTCTGGTTAAAGTTCAARTGTAAACTTACAGAGCGAGTGATATAATGGGGGCCACTGAGACAGTGAAAACCAATCAAATTGTAGCATGAAAACAATACCAACTTTGGGAAGTGGAGCCAATCAGAAAGCAGCAGAAAACAATAGCCTTTCAACATATCTTTTTATTCCCACAAGAAAATGATGATTAGCTATCCAATTGTTCACATGCAACATCAGGGTCAAATTACAATGTTCTTGTGCAGTCTTGGTTTCTGATTGGCTGACCACTACCCAAAGTTGGAATGCATTGTTTTCATTCTACATTTTAATTGGTTCTCTTGAGAGTGAGTTGCACTGTAAGTTTTAGGCTAATAAGCTGAATTTTTTTTTCTTCAAAACTAACCCATCACAAATCTAACAAAATCTTTTGGATCTGTCGGCTTCCAATCTTTGGGCTTTTCTGGTAAATTAACATTCTTATCCTACAAATGGAAACAAAATCGTAAATTAAGTCGTATATATTTGTAAAGAAACTCGTTTTTGAATGAACTACTATGTCATTAAGAATCTAAGGAACTTCTTCAAGATGTAAACTTATTTCGAACAGTATTGCAAAATCACTCACTGGATCTTTCATTAGTCTTTCATACTGTAATCTCTGGATCTCTAGCGCTGTTTTTGGTACGATAGGTCTGGAGCTTTCCTTGTCTTTCTTTTCTTTCTTTTCTTTTTTACCTTCRTCCGCCATTTTGAATTCGTACTATCCTCAGTACCTCAGCATTTTTAATAACCACAGGGATCCCACCCTAGCATTTCAAAAACCGATGTTATTTATAAGAAAATTAGAAATAGAGAGAAGATCTTGTAATTTAATTTAAGTTTTCGCTACCCTAACTACTCGTTTTTATCTYGTCATAGTTTTGAAAGTTTTATGATGTTGTACGGATATCGCCAGTTTCGTCGCCCTTGGGGTTCCTTTGATGAAAACCACAGGGATCCCTTTTTAGCATTTGAAAAACCTATGTTATGTTTATGAAAATAAGAAAAAGAGAGAAAATCGTTAAGAAAGATACTTTTAATTGTCATTTTGGTATTCTCTGAATCATTGTTTTTACTATGTGATAATTTTGAAGGTTTTTAACAAGGATGTCCGGATATGGTCTATTGGGGTTCCTTTGTTCTGGTCCTCAGTACAGTACTAATCAAATATTCTGATCTGTTCTCCCACGATAAAACCAAAATATGGAGAGCAAGGCGGCCAGTGTGTGTGTGGCTGCTGCTGCTGTTGCTGCAGGATTCTACATCTATTTTGGACCAACGAAYCCCGAAAGAAAACGAAATAAGAAAGGTAAATTACTTTGTGGTAAAAACATTGGGCAAAATRCGTTTTACATGAAATCTTGGAGGACACAAAATTAGATTTCTAGGAAAATTCAGCTGTTTTGGAATGCAAATCTTGGTTGAATATTCACTTTTTAGGGTTATCTCAATTTGGATCATAAATCCAAGTCGTTTTTTACTTTATTTTTGACCATACTCGAATATACCCTCTCTTTTTTTATAAAATATTTAAGATATATATAGTGGCCATATATAGATATTGGAATACAGATTTATGGTAAACCTTAAAGAGAAAAATAGTTAGGAGATGTGAAAATGATGATTTTGAATTATTCACACTTTCCTTTAAGATAMTTTCATTTTTTATACTAGAACCATGAAGCAGAAACCACTTGTGTTGTACATGTTTTGAACTTGAAATTCATAATTTACATATGTGTTTCTACCGAGGTTTTGAAAGGCTAATTCCCCTTGATTTTTCCATTTTAAAATTCAATCCTAAAAACAGTGATTTTTACGTTTTAATCAATTTTGTTTGCCAAGGATCAATATTCTTGTTATGAATAATACTTGAATGTAACATATCGTTAGTTTTTCTAGTAGACAGATTACTTTAATGCTGTACTTGACTTGTCTTTTTAGAGGAATTAATCCTCACATCTTAGTGCACATGTATATCGATCTTTTTGTAGGTCTGTGTGCTGGAATGCATAATCTTGGAAATACATGCTTCATGAACTCTGTTTTTCAGGTAATTCAGTCTTATATGGTCAAAGCTTAAAGTATACGCCTAAAACAWTTAATAGATTGCATTTTTAGTGTTTTTTTAATGCATTATTTTGCAATTTTCTAAGAACATTTTCTACTAACCTAAGAAAATGTGTTCCCATTACTCAAATAATAAATAAACCTATATTGTACTCAATCCTGACTGATTATGAGGATGATAATCTTTAGCTTAATAGCTATGTGTCTTTCCAGGGTTTGGCATCATTATCATCCTTTGTATCATGGCTTGAGAGCTACAGCTGGAACTGTACTGAAGATGAGAAAGTCAAACTTGGGCAAGTGATGGGAGAGCTTATGAAAGGTATTATAAATAAAATGATTAACCAAAGCATAAAATCAATAGCTGAGTAACCTTGACTCAAATTCATTTGTACTTTAAGGTCTTTTAAATTCCCCATCCTCTCCCTGCCTCCATCAATACTTCCTTCTGCCAGACCTTCCATCCATCCTTCTATCCATCTTTTGAAACACTCAAATGTCTCTCTTTTTAAAACACTCAAATGTCATGTAAATAGTAGGAGGTTGGTTAAGAAAAATCTGTCTTTTGATTCTCCATCCATCCATTCATTCATTCATTCATCTATTCATTCATTCATTCATTCATTTATTCGTTTCGTTCATTCATTTACTCATTCATCCTTTCAGTCATTCTTCAGTCCATTCACTCATTCATTTCATCTAGTTTTCCCATAAATTCATTTAATTCTCTTTCATTCATTCATTCTATTGTTCATTTATTCACTTAACCATTCACTTATTCATTCTTTCCACCATTTTCCCTCATCTCACATTTTCAAAGCAAGTAATCTATCTATTTATTTTCCATTCATTCATTTGTGTATCAATTCAGCTCTTCATTTATTCATCCATCCCTTTCTTTATCATTCTTTATTATTCTTTATTATTTTTTAAATAATTTTTATCTGTTTTTAGAGCTCAACACAGAGTGGTATGAGGATGACACAGGCTTGACAGCCACTCCTGTTATACAAGCATTACGTCGTCATGGATGGGTAATAGAACCAGATCAGCAGGTCAGTCACGTTTGGGTTATTTTTGTTAATCAGCTGTCAGCCACAACTTTCAGACCATCATGAATCTAGTATACTACTCAAATCCAACTAGTTGTCTATTATAAATACTGTGTTCCGATTGTATGAGTTACGTACTACTAGGCTATAAGTTATGTTCTCATAGTAGAGAAAAGAACCAGCTTTTGAAACAAAAACATTAATTTGCATCTATATATTTGAACAACTAGTTGGATTTGACTAAACACAAAACAATTTGGCCTCATGGGCTATTGACTCATAGCCCATTCTAGTCCAGATGCTGGCCCCTTCTTTGAACACTGTGCTTTTGTTGGGCGCAGCAAAAGACAGGCCAGCTTCTGGACTAAGCCCATTTGGGCTCAAGGACTTATTGCTAAATAGTGAATTAAACTTTAGATGCACTGAGTAAACTGTTAAGCATACTTAAGGCTTTCAACTTCACTGGAGTCTCTTAGTATACAAGTTTTTTATATTTGTCATCCTTTGCACATTCTTGATTTACGCGTATCTCTTTATCTTTTAACAGGATGCCCATGAATTTTTCCAAGTTCTTTTTTCATCGTTAGATGATGAAATCGTAAGTTTTACAAGTAAGAGGATACCATGATATGCCTTAAAAACTTTCCACTATAAAATAGAAGTGTAGCAAAAGGCATCTGTTCACTTAATTTACTGTGGCAAGTCCAGTGAAGGATAAGACCCTCATGTATATTTGATAGATATTTTCTCCTTATATTTCAATAGTTGGATATAATCTCTTTGACTTCTATTTCCTCACTTCAGTATGGACCGTTCTCCATATGTGGGAGTCATGTGGAATTTTAAAAATGAAAGCGAGACTTTGGCTGTTTTTTTAAAAGTAAAAATCAAATTTCCGATGGCTTAGCAGTGTATGTCCTCTCATTTACCACTGACAATATAACATCAGAGTTAGTCAAAATTAGTTACGTAGCCACTCAGTTACACCTCATGACATCCTGGTGTCATTTCATGGTAAATAAGGAACCATCGGAAAAAAGTTATATTAAGTTTATCATCACTCTTCCTGTAGGGAGAGCTTCCAGCAGTCCTGGATCTACGAAGTGTTTCATCTTTTGAGGTAACCAACAATTGCTCAATGTATTTTTCCTTTTATTAAGGAGTAATTTTTTTCCCATTTTAGACCACATGTCATTCACAAGAATATCATTTCTTTGTTTAATAGTTGAGCACAAGAAGAAGCATCTTTTCTTTTTTTAGCACTCTTTAAAATTACATTATTAGAAAAGGGAAAAAATAYGTGGATGGGTGCCAGCCATTTAGAAATAGCAGAGCTAATTGAGCTAAAGACACATGAATATGGATACAACTCAAACAAAGAATATTCTTCTCAAGGGAATGACACTTGGTCGGAAATAGAAAGACATTATGCTTGAAAAGAAATATATCTATTGATGTCTTTTTATATCATTTTAAACTGTTRATCAATCTCTTTCGTTTTAGAAAGAAAAAGATAGTACCAATGGTTCTGCAGCCCACAGAAATCRTAGTATGTATTTATTAGCATATATCATGGATATAATGTTTTTAAATCCATTTTTATTTGTTTTAATCTTTTTTTYCAGTTCCTCTTGTAGGGCATTGTCCTAGACGTCGTAGTCCTTTTCGAGGTCTTTTAGCAAGTCAGCTTGTTTGCAAAACATGTGYTACAAAGGTAAAAAATTGAATATCAATTACTACATCACTTTCACATCGTATTGCTGGTGATGATGATGAAAGTGATGATGATGATGTTGATGATGATGATAGTGATGATGATGATGATGATAATGATGATGAAGATGATAATTTAGGAATATAAGGTGTTATCACCTTCACAGCGTAGTTATCTCTGATCCTCTGTTTTATTAATATGATGCTATTTACCAAGAAGGCAGAACGTGAACAACCAGTTGACCTTTCTTGGATTGGACACTATTCTCAGCATGCAATGCAATCAATATTAATTATTTCCTGTAAGGACGGCACACACTTATACCAGTCCTAATATTTCTAAAACATACATCAGTGCTGCAATACATGATATTGTATTTCTTGTTCATTTCTTTCTTGTTCTTTGTTCTTACCCATCAAATTAATTACCTCTGGCATATTTCAGTGTCCTGTCAAATTTGATGGATGTGACAGTCTGTCACTCAGTCTACCTTCAGTACCACAGGTAAACGTATGACTCRCTTGAGGAAAAGTTGGACTGTCTCTCTCTTTGCAATTGTATAGTACTATATTTTACACAGATCACGCAGATATTCATTGCTAAATCTCCCCAATACAGAGACTCAGATGTTCATAGGT